TTTACAGCAGACCTGCTCTCTCTGGGTCACCATGTTCTTTCCTGAGGGTGTGAGTGATCCAGTACAAGCTGGTGACCCAGAGCAGACAGGTTTCTGGTGATATGCCTCTGGATACTGTCAAAAGATGAAAAATCTCCTAATTAAACTGGTTATGTTTGCTTCTGATGACAGACCGAAGTTACTAGTTCTCAGTTTGGATAGAAAAACAGAAATTCTGTTGCCAGAGAGACAGCCTGTGCAAATGGGCTTGATGGCAATGGGATGTGGTGTCCCCTGGAGGAGTTTGCTCTAAGGAGTCACCAGAGCACGTGGTAGTGCAGGCTCAAGGGCTGTCTGGGCACTTTGGGAGGTGGTCGGTTCCTGTGTGCTCTGCAGCTCAGAAACTTGAATGGCACCACATGGCCTTGCAGGAGTCAAATCCATTTTTTTGCTATTGTGCAGAATTGCTCTGTGTGCCATGTTATGGAAATACTTGATGACATTCTAATGGTCTTGATGCAGTTTGAATATCTTTGCTGCCAGCATGGAACTCTATTAATAGGAGAAAGAAAAGGACTTAGTTGTGTCCACCTTTTTCTTAGAGCCAGTCACAGAACTCATTGCTGTAATCTGAAGCCAAAGTGTACAGACCACTTAGTAGCTTTAACAGTCATTGATAAAAGAGGTGTTGTTTAGAGATTTTCATTCAACTAAAAGATGGAGTTAAAGCTTTAATGGGATATTGATCCAACATTTGGGAGTGCAGTTAAGCAATATGGCAGGATAGTACAGGGAAATGTTGTCAAAAGACCTAGAGTTTATAAGGAAAGGAATTAGTTCAGCCTCTGGAAATGGTGATAGATGTGTTAGAACAAATGGTTCCATTTGCACAGGAATGGGAACTTACCAGTATGTTCCACCCAGGATCAATTAAAGGTGGAAGAAGCTACAGGTATTGATTAAATAGACATGGGGACTTGCAGTTAATCAAATATTTGGCTGAGGTCATATTCAGTTCATTGCTCTAATTATTAGAGAACATATTTTCAGCAAATCTGTCATATGATCTTCTAGTATGAAAGTAGAGCAAAACAAATGTGATTACCATTTGGTGGTGGTTTTTGTAACATCTCTATTTTGCTGCTTTATGCCAGTTGCTGCATGTACACACTTTGAAATGTTAAAATGTGCATTGACCCATGCTCAGCTAACACACAAGTCTCAGCTGTTTAACTGTTAAAGGAACTATGAGAAGATAATCGCAAATATGATTATTAAAAAGTTTGATACAGCTGATTTCTTCTGTGTGTGTTAATTCCAAATTTAACTCACATATTTTTTAAAGTGCTCAGATTAAAAAAAAAAAATAAAAAAAATCTTGGTATTTCTTAGCACTGTCCTGACTGTACTGTAAACATTTATCTTGCAGAGCCATAAGTGTGATACTTGGCGACAGGTGGAAGAAAATGAAAAATGAGGAAAGAAGGATGTACACACTAGAAGCCAAGGCCTTGGCAGAGGAGCAGAAGCGTTTAAATCCTGACTGTTGGAAAAGGAAACGAACAAATTCTGTATGTTTGTGAAGCAGTCTTTTTCATTATGCCATTACATGTGTTCAGATGGGTGACTACAGTGTGTTTTGTTCAGAATAAGCTGCTTTCTTAGTAGCCAAAACCCTCATTTACTCCCGTGTTGTGTAACCTGCTTTTGGCAGTTTGGCAGAGACAGATCAGGAGAGGGTCTGTCTGAATATTTTATGAGAGTTCTCTGGATTCTGTTGTACTGAAAGTTAGTGTGCTTGTGAAATGCAAAGGAAGGGCACGTAGTCTTTCACTTTGAAGTGAGTTCATAAGGTTGTACCTAAACTTTTTTATCTTCTGTAAAAGCTTTTTTTTTTCCTAGTTTTGTTCCTGATAGTTTATATCAGCATATATGATGATACTGAAAGAGCAAAACAATTTTTCCTTGTGAATCCCCTTCATTTATTACTCTGTTCAGTTGTAAAATAAATACAGTAGATAATACTACTTCTGTAGCAAAAGAAATTTTAGTAGAAAGCCATCAGTCTAAGAGTCTGCATCACTATATTAGTAGGTGGTGGATGTATAAAAATGTATTAGTGGTGGTGGTTGTAAAAAAAGAGAAGGGCTTTAATGCTGAAACATCATGTAAAGCAAACATCAAAAAAGGAGATTCTGCCTGTCCAACAAGAAAAGTAGATTGGAAAGAAAGATGCACAGAGTGCTTGCCAAGTTCTTTCATTTTATGTTTGGGTAGGAGCTTGAAGGGTGGTGTGAACTTCATCTACATGGTTGGTGAAACCATCCATCCATGTGGTGTCAGATTTCATCCTCGAGTTACCCCCTTTCCTTTGATGTGTAAATGAGGCTTCTTTCTCAAGAGCATATACAAGTGTTGCCTTAAGACTGAATAAGAAATGCTCCAACACTGAGTTGTTTCTTTCTGCTGCACATACTTTGTGCAGTTTCCAGTCCCTTGTTGCAGAAGGTTCCACCAAACCCCAGCTGCTAAGAACAAGCTGTTTTTCTGTTCACTGCATTATTTTAATCAACAGTGACAGCTTCTGTTACATTTCCTTGTGGGTTTAGTTAAAATAATATTATTTATTGATTCTGCTCTTACACCAGTGCAGTTTTGAGCTTTGGATGGTGAGATCACAGGCTCACCTGTGAGCCTAATGCAATGCAGAGGCGTCTTTGTGTGTAGCTGAGTAGTGATGGGTTTGCCTCAGTAAAATGGGTTTGCCCTGCCTTGCAGTAGGAGTTTCCTTGTCCCTACAGTCTTCAGGCCAAGAGAACAGGATCTGCAGAACCTGTTTCCTCAGCGCTACAGCAGGAAATGCCCTTCATAATTGTTGTAGTTCAGTGAACTGAGCTGTTAGGAGTCTGGTAACCTTACTCAGTAATTACAGTGGGCTCTAGGCTGTGACAGAAATGTTGTGATGGTCTTTTGATGATCAAGGAATGAAACTGCCTGGCTTGACCTTTTTTTTTCTTCTGAATAACTGACCAATGATTTGTGAGTGAATACTTGTGGCTATGAAAACAAGTGTTCTGCCCTTTGCTTGACCTGGTTTTCTCTTCTCTTTTCTCAGGGCTCACAACAGCATTAAGCCAGAATTTTCCTGTAAACTCTGTATTTACAAAATGGCTGTTGCTTGATGGCGAGAAGATGCAAGATCAAGGTCTTACTATTTGTTGTGACTATGTGTGACCATAAAATACTGGCACCATCATGGAAATGATCTGAGTGCAGATTTGCTTTTTACAATAGAACATTAAGTAAGCTAAAAACTATCAGCATTTTAAACCAAATTGCCTTATTTTTCTTCCAAACTTCATTATGTATCAGGTAATATAGGCTTGAAAATGGATATCCTGTGGTGCTAAAGTACTTTAGAAAGAGGCGAAGGAGATATGTATAAATGTTTATTTTTAAAAGAAAATGTACAAAAAGGGGAATTTTAAAATATGTAACAGCTGTTTATATACATTGATTCTTATTGCTGATTAATATGTATTGCACAACTGTATTATTAATTGCGATTATGAGGCCTGGGATTTTCTGAAATGGCAAAGTGTATTATCAGCTTCCAGCTTCCCAGCCTGCCCTGCTGCCAGCAAGTCACCAGAACGTGTGGGAATGGAGGGTGTGGTGTGATGTGGCAAGGGAGCTGCTGCTTGGGATTTCACTTAGAAAACTTGTATCCACAAGGGAGATACTTTTGCATCAGCTGGCACTAGTGAGAGCTGTCATTTTGTGGTGGAATCAATGGCCCGGGACAGGATGAAATGAATAAATAGCGTTATCTCAAGAAAAGTGGTGCTGTTGATATCATCACCATCATAGTTATTACTCTGTGTTTTGTCTTTGCCACATATTCTACAATATTTTATTTTGCCATAAGACATCTTTATGGTGGGGGCAAACTTTGCACTTAACTATATGTGCAACACTTGCACTTTACTTTTTTTTCTCCTCCAACTGTCTAAAATTAGAGCAGGTGTGTTAGGATTACAATTGCTTCTGCTGTGAACATTTACAATCATGGCTTTTCCTGTACTAAACAGCTGTGCGTTGGTTTTTTTTTTTTAAGAATCACAACTGTAAATTTCAGTTTATGACACGTCTACATGATGTTGCCCCTAAGATTTTTGCACACTATATTCTTGTATATTATTTCAAATAAATTCATTAAAATTTGGTGTTGTGTATTTTATAAAATGAAGACTAATCACAAAGTCAGCCCTGCAGCACTAAGCATGTTCTGCATGGAAGTCTTTACACGAACCCATCCAAAGTATATTTTAATGCTTTGCCATTAGGAAGCTAGTGAAGAATTTCAAATACTATTTTCAAGATTGGATAGTTAATGTTCTTTATTACAGTTTAAGCAAAAAGAATTGAAATCAATATAAATTATTTCTAAGCAAGTAGCAGTGCAATAGAGAAGCATTTAGGTTAGTTATAAATATTTTTCCTTGTGTTAAAATTAGTGATTTTTAGATGGAAACTGATGATTCAAATGTTTCAAAAGTACAATTTTCTGAATACAGCTAAAATGTATTCAACTGCTTAAAACTTTACTTGTAGGGAAAGAGCTGCTTCCTTATTTGAGATATTCAGCAATTACACTGTAATATATCAGTTCTAATTTTAAACTTTTCTAAATTCAAAAGGAATGCTTAAGAATGTTTCAATTAGATGTAGACTTACAGCACATAAAAGTTGTACCATTTCCTTACAATATTTCTGTATAAGTAAGTCCCTGTAATGTGAATATAAAGCAAGAAGACAGAAGTTTCAGACATGAAGGAGGTAAATGTTTCACTGTAAAGCTGATGTACTTGGGGATAATTTACATGAACAGTGAAGATGTATGTGGCACCAAAGCCCCCAGCTGTGTTAACGTCCATTCCCTGGTGTGAGAGCATTGTCCAGCTGTGTTCACTGAAGAGTTGACATGGCTTTCTGCAGCAGCTGAACCATTATGGGATAGACTGGTGCAAACTCCTTTCCCTCTCTTGTTCTCACTGACTGAACATAAGCTTCCAGTGCACCGCTGAAAAAAAAAAAAAAAGTAAAGCAGCTAAAGCAATTAAATACTGTAAATTCAGGATCTGCAACAGAAATTAATTGCCTTCTTCCCTCCTGCAGAATTTTCCTCAGATGGTCCTACTTGTCTGTGGAAGGAAGTGAGCAAGGAAGGCCTTGTAAAGCTTTGTATAATTGTTCTATGATCTTTATCTCCTTTCTTGCACGTTTGAAGAGCAAACAAGTTAACATTTAAATAAGCAGCAGCATGTTGCAGATGGCTTGAAATGACAGCTCTGACGCACAGACTCGGGCTCAGTGCTGCACTGGTAACCTTTAGAAAGGGAGAGAATAATCTCCAGCTGCTGCAGACGCTGAGAGTGCAACTTCCAGCATGAAAAGTGGGGCACTGGTGAACAGCCGCCATGCCCTGAGGTGATTCCTGGCACAGCTTTTTGAACTCCCATTGTCCATCCTCAGAAACACTGCGCTAAGCCCAGACAGGGCTTGAGCAAGGCACGGCCTGGCTCTCATACATTGTCACAGGATATCACACAGAGAGTCATCATGTGTGAACTGCACAAATAAAACACTGCAAAGCTAAAAGGGGCAACTGTGGTAATGCTTTACAACACAGGATCACCTTTCGGCTAACATTCTAGCACACAGTATTGTTGAGTGACAGTGTATTTGTAAAACAAACACTGTAAGTGTTCATCTGTTGAGATTCCAACTTACTAATTCATTAAGTAGGCCAAGCTAGTGTTGCCACACTTAAATATAGCTTGGAATTTAATTTTCTTCTCCTTTTCTGCTTCTATTTCTTCATGTAACTGATACGATCATCTTGGAGTTTCCTTCTAAAATTTGCTTATATTTGTGCTATTTACAGCAAAGCTGACATTAAGAAAATCCACGAGCAACAGGCCCCATTTCAAGTGGAGACTAATACAACTCCTGGTATGTGGCTGTTCCTTTTCTAATGCAGAATGTCACCACAGCCCTTCCAGTGCTGCACTAACACCAGCCCACAGGGCAGTGGGGTCCTGCCGCAAATGCGGTCACTGAGCAGGGAGTGGTTCTGGATTTTGTCTCATGCATTTCTTTCTGGGAGTGCAGGATGCACCAGCACAGCTGCTCTGCCAATGAGGGAGCCCGCTGGCTTTTAGTAACATGGCAGGAACATTCCCAGTCCCCCTGGGAGAAGACAGATGGTGGTTGTGCACATCTGGTGAAGGGGTGGGGGGCACCGGGGTCAAGTGAGTTGGTAACACAGAGCAACCGCAAAGCTGTGCCTATAAATACACACCCACTGCTGTAGGATGGTGGGCTCTGGAGGCAGAGCTGTGTTTATGTTTGCTGCTACTTCCAACAAACAAGCCTTTGGAGGAACCCTGCGTTCCTGCACGAAGAGCTCACAGATTCGAAGACAGCACTGCTCCCTGGTAGATGCCTGCTGGCAGCTGGCAGCAGTAGGCAGTGAATCAGGCAAGGCTTAAGGAAAGCGAAAGTACTGAAGAGTGATATTCAGCCCATGTTTCACACACACAGGCTTCTCCTGGCATAAGATGGTAAGAGAGGAGCAGCCAAGATCCCTGTGTGATGCTGCAGCTCTGACAATCCTCAGATGAGCCCATCAAACCTGACAAACCAGAGGAGATGGTAGGAACATACAGGGTCACAATACACTTGGGGCCTGTAAGTAAAGCTGCTGCCACATCAGCAAGGGCTTGGCCCCTCCTCAATGACTTGAGCCCATCTGTGTCAAGAGCATCACTGGGAATTTCCAGCAAAGTTCATTTATCAGCAAGTGGAAGAAGCTCCTGAGGCCTGTGCTCAGTTCACTGGAGAGACGAGTCTGAGCTTTGGGTTCTGAGAAGCCAATGACAGCTATGGCAGCCCGGCCCCATGAGCTGGTCCTGGGGCTGCTCCCGCTCCTGCCAGCACTTCCCATCCCCAGAAATGCGCTGATCCGCCAGCCTCACTGCCAGAGCACCAGGAGGAGCTGGCTGTCCCCACATACAGTCCCTGTTAATGGAGTATGACAGGAGAGACTGAAGCGTGCAACTGTGCAACCAAAGAACCTGAGGCAGCTTCACTTCTGAGCTCAGGATGGGAATGAAATGGCACAGCACGAGGTAATTCCCACCACAGCTCCTGATGTCCCTATGCAGCATCCAGACCTCACAGTCCCTCTTTGCTGAAGCCCAGGAGATATTGTCTAGGGGTACACAAAAGAAGGATGGAATGGATTACTGAACAGTTGAGATGCTTCAGAAAAATAAAGTTATCGAGCACAGAAACAGTTCCTCATGTTGGCCTTGGTGCACTTGAGAGCTCTTCCATTTTGATAACAACTTACTCGTGAGCTACTGCTGAGTAGGGGTTTACACCAGGCACAAATGCACTGTAAGGAATCTGAATTTTTGCACAGCAGCAGACCACAACAGAGAAGTAATCCCTTGTTTTTTGGAAAGAATATTTATCTTATCTAGCTAAAGTAAACCTGACTTTTTGCACCTGGTCAGCTCCCTGAAAACCACTCCAGTTGCTCCCTGGGGAGCAGCTCACTTCCTTCCCAGCAAAAGACGTCAGCATAATGAACTGCAGAGAGATTAGGCACATCCACAGGTTTATTTTAAATCCCATGATTGAGAGAGAAAAAGTGAGACTGGGGGAATGGGTCAGCAGGAAATTGTGCTTTTTAGATAAACTGGCCTCTTGTAGCAATGAGAAGCCAGCATATGATGAGCAGACTGAGCAGCAAGAGAGAGATGCAGGCAGGGAAGGCTCAAGGATGACATCAAGGATGCCATCCTGATGAGTGGAGGTGCTTCAGAAGAGTCAGAAATGTCTCACATTTCCACTCAGGTGAGCACTCAAGTGCTCTGGTCAGCAGTAATTGTTAGACATGTTACATGTTTGTTACCTGCTACAAAGAATTGTCTCTTGTATTAAAAAGACAGCTGAAAAACTCCTGTGAGTTTTCTTACTGTGACTGTCATTCATCTTTTTACATCTCCCCCCTTGCACTCAGCACTATCCCTGTCTTTTCCTTTCTATACATTCCTCAAAGTTTGTTGGGCTCAAATAGTTTTTTGAAGTCATCAAAAGCTGAAAATAGAAAAAAAAACCATATTGACCTGCTTAACTTAGAAAGCTCTAACACCTCTTGGTGAAGTTGTGGGTTGGCAGCATTATCCAGATGGTAACACTGCTATCCCTTAAGTGACTTATCTCCTTGCTTTGAAAAAGCCCTTGAAAAAGATTACAGAGATAACCAGATAGATGAAAGGGAGAAGCTTTACCCTAAGAGTAGCACCCAAAAATTCAATGTGAGCCCTTGATAATCCTTTGCCAGACTGTTACTGCCATCAGATCAAACAAGATGGAATGAGATTTAGGCTATGCCAAGTGCCATACAGCAGCATTACAGTCCTACTGTCACACCTTCTAGCAACTTGTATATTTTTTCCCTCTCTCCTGCCCCAAAAGAATCTGATTTAACTTGCAAAACCAACTCCATCAGAAGCAACTAAAAGGAGTTTTGTAGGTCCCTTTGCTGCACTTGCTCTTTTACTGTAGCTTTGCTTGCATTCTTTCAAAGAGATAAGAGTCAAACTTCACGAATATGACCAACCTGAGAGCATCACAACTCCTAGCCACTCCAAAGGCAGCCAGTAATATCAATACTGAAAGTTGAACGCTCAGGCATTTTTCTAAAAGAGACCTTGTACAGCTTTACATTAAACAATGAAAATACAAGCTTTCTGTACACTCCAACTGCATTCACTATTCTTCTGTGTCCCACACTTGCATCTCCAGTACAAGTATTTAAGCACTCTGAAGCTGAATGTTTTAATAATATCATAATCTGTATCATAATATATACTATACTATACCATACTGTAATATAAATAAAATAATCAGTAGCTTTACCTGAAACACCTTCTGGTAAAGCAAACTGGCCTGGAGAACTCCCTGCTCCCTGTGCCCACCCAGGGAAGGCCAGGAGACTGCTCCCACACAGGCAGGTGTAGGAAAGCAGTCGAGGGGAGGCTGAAAAGCTTCTGCAGCTGCTGGAGACTGGTAGGAAAGAGGTAGCCACCATCATCTGGAGCTCCACACGCTACCAGGGAATCGTGGTCAAGCTCAGATACTCCTTTGCATTGCTGCCTGTGGGAATGGCACCAGGAAGCCTGTCCATTCCTGGTAAGCAAAGTTACAGGGAGTAAAATGGTACAAATCATGAATCTAGGGAGAAAGGCTGTTTGGAGTCCAGAGAATAAAGGTGAGGTTGCTCCAGAGCGAGAGGGAGGAATGGGCTGGAAGACGTAACTAAAAGCACCAATGGTTATAGAGTAGACATGGTTCCAGATGTTCATTTGGGATGGGAATTTTGTTTTGCTGAAGACAGTCAACAAGTCTTCAGGGTGGGATTTTGGAACTGCAGCATACAGGAATATGGACAGTGCAGGATGTTGCTTGTGGCAAAGCAAGATGATTGCTGCTGCATGCAGCCAGACTTCAGTGCAGGCTGCCTGCAACTTGGAACATCACAGGAGCTGCTGGGAAGCCTACCTGACTAATTTGGGGTGATAAATGAATTCAGGGGCTTTGTTAACACTTGAAATGCAGAATTCTCCATGACATTTTGGTAAGCTTTAGCACTCCTAGCTCAAATGAGCTTTTGTAAACTATGCTGGCAGTATAGGACTCGATTCAGATGCATCAGTCCACCATTTACCCTACCAGTCTACAGTTTACCATAAAAATTACCATTTTGGCAGGCTTCACTCCTATTGAAGACACTGTAAAAACACCAGTGCTAAAGCAGTTGTGGAAAAATAAACAGCACTATGGGTGAAAGCAGTATCATCAAGTCTCCAGCACAGAGGAGATCACAGCTGTTGTCATATAAAAAGATGTAATATGTAGTTATATTATTGTTGTTTAAGATGGAAGAAGCCCTGTTTATGTAATATACAAAACATACTCTTGAAGGGATTAGACTAAATAATGCCCTAAATTCGGCATTTTCTAGTCTAATAAAGGACATAAAACCTGTTCAGCAATCTGTTTCTATTTTAAAAGACAAGCTATGGTATACATTACAAATATTGTTTGTAAAAGAGAGCTATGGAAGGAGGGTTGGTGGGATGTTCTGCATATATTAATGCTTCATTAAAAATGCCATAAGAAGGAAAAAAAAACCCCTAAGTTTAAGATGCCCTCCCACATAAGGAAAAGGATTTTAAAGCACTTATTAAATTACTTCACTTGTATGAGCAAAACCATGAGCTTTCTTGGAAATCAGGACAAGCTGATTATATAAGACCCTGATAGTTCTTCTTTAACATGTTATTTCAACCCATGAAGATTTTTACCTAGCGTTAAAAGGAAAAAAAAAGAAAAGTGTGATCAAATACTCTAATTAATTAATTTTATATGGAATTGTGAATCCTAGCACTACCCTCCTAGGCTCTGCCTTTGGTCAAATGGGATCAGATTTACATTGTGAGCTTCAGAAGAGGCAGGGATCATCTTTCTGCTCAGTAGTGGGACTGCACCCTGTGCACTCCTGTCACCATCAATCAGCAGGGCAGCTGCAGGACCCCGGGGCCAGACTTTTCTTTAGTATTTTGGTTAAAGTCTGTTTGCTGTGCAAACTTGAGGGTGAAGCAGAAAATAGAAAATGTGCTGTGTAAAAGCACATCTGTGTGACACCGGGCCTATTAAATCCATTTAATAATAAAGATTATTGTAAAACCAAACAGTAAAACCTCCAACAGCTTCACCTGTAGGACAAGCGAGGAGCAGGAGACAGCTGTGGTTATTCCAGCCTGCACAATGAAGAGCTCAGAGGTGTGCTGGCAGAGACACCTGGGTGCCAGCCAGGGTTGATGGATGCCGGAGTGCTGCAGCCTCCCCTCCCGGCCGCGCTCCTTCCCTGCGGCAGAGGCAGCGCTGACCCAGCCACACCGAACCCAGCACACAGATGGGGCTTTCACAGTGCTCCCCAACCTGCCCTGGGCAGGTCAGAGCAACTCCCCAGCTCAGAACTAGAGCTCGTTATGGAAACAGACCCTTCACTGGGCCTGGCTTTCAACTCTGCTTCAGCAAGGGTGAGCTTGAATAAGGGGAGTTAACACACACTCTAATGGTAAAGGTAAGAATTTGGCCCTTGAATGGGTGAACTGTCCTTCAGACTGGCTCAAATCCTGTCATGTCTAATAGGGTTTCTTTTATGGAAGAAAAGTTGAGGTTTCAAGCTTAATTTAAAAAAAAAATTGCCCATGACACTTAAAGAAGTGTTCCTTTCAACCCAATCCCTGCTCAGGGAGGACACCTGCAGCAGGGTCATGTCACACAACTTTAAATGTCTGCAGGGCAGCTGGCTGCCTGAGAGAGCTCCTGTGTCCCAGCCCACACTGCACTCACTGAACAGAGAAAATGGCAGCTTTCAGGACACAGTGCAACTGACCTATTTTAGGTACCTGCTTCAGGATGAGATGAATCAGCCCCAGCAGCACCTGCTTCTCTTTGTTGACTATAAAGGGAGCCCGGAAAATATACCTCTGGCCAGGTAAATACCACCCCTTGTGCTGAATAGAAGCAGAAGGAAATGCACAAAAATGCTCAGAACGGGACTAATTCATACCATTCACACCACATTGCAAGCGAAGCATTTAAGACCTACAGAGCGGAAGAAGCACTCCAATTAGCTTTAATATGAAGCTAGAAGGATCCTGGTAACACGAGGAAATTAATATCTAGGCAGCAGGCCCCTAGAGTAATTGCACAGTTGTTACAACGGGAAGTTGCAGAAAATTACCATTTGCAAGGCTGCAGCAAACAAAAAGATAATATCTTGATGTAGGCCAGTGCAGGGATCTGAAGGCTCCAAACATCCTAAGTTCAACTCACACAGCTGAAATGACTACGAGCCTGAAGAGGGTGACTGATAGAAGAGCAAGATGCCTGCATAGTTCAGCTAAGGTTCATATGAGACACAAAAAGAGCAGGCTCAGAAACCTTCCAATAGAGTATTAAAGAAAATATGAGTGATTCATGGTCATACTAGTGACTGATGTCTGCTTGCCTGCCTTACATATGGATAACCAGCCATGCAAAATGAATAAAGGATTCAATTAAAGGATTGAAAGGAAAACTTAAGTATTCCAGCTTCACAACTTGGTCTAATGGATGACATTGTCTCAGTCTAAAAGCCTCATCCCAAGGTTTGTTCCTTAATACCTCCATGGTTAGAACAATTTATCAGTGTCTGAACATGACCACCAGCAAGCCCATTAACTGAATCAGTTTGAATGAAATTTAATTGCAGACAAAGACAAAAATGTGTTTTAGTTTAAGGATGGCATTTTCAAACTTGGGGAAAATGAATTGAAGAGAACAAAATCCCACCGGTTCTCAAATGGTTTGCATTCTTGGCTTTCCCTACTATATCTGCCAGTGTTGCTAGTACTATCAAGACAGAAATTACAATCAAAATAATCATAACTGATAACATATACAGCTCTCCTGTATGTATCACCTATGCCCCTGTATTTCAGTGTCATGGCTTGAGATTCAAGAAAAGCTAGTTTTGTAGATAAACTAATCACAAGTATGATTTTCAAAAAATACACAAATGAAGTGACACAGTTTGTATTTTAATATTTCAGAAATAAATCCTAGTAACATCTATTGGTGATCAGCTAGTATCTCCTTAACTGGCCCATTTACTACATGGGACGGTGGTGCTATCAGCTTCAGGAAGTGTAAATATTTATAGCAGACTGCTCTTGGCTGCTTTAGAAGTGTGGACAGAAAACAGTTGACTTTCTGAGGCACAATCACTGTTGGCTGGAATGTAAAAGTCAGCTTTTATCACTCCAGCAAAAGCTGGCAACATCCAGGCATGGCAGTTCAAGGACAGAGCTGGTTCCCAGGCCATGGAGCCTGGTGCAGCTCCATGTGACAGCCCTTCCCAGGTCACTGGCGTGGGGGGCACAGACAAAGGCTGGAAAATTTAGGGCTTTAGGAGTCAAATGATCATCTGAACCCTGAGGATCCCCAGGTTGGTTTTGTCATGTTCTTACAAATGTGCTTTCTCTAACATACTTCAAAACTTTGCTTGATTTGCTTGATTTGCTTGATTTGCTTGATTTGTTAACTTTTCCTAACATCTTAAGATGCAAAATAATATTTAGCTATGAAGTCATCTACTCTAGCAAGATTTCAAAAATCTGATGTAATTATTACTTTCTAAAGATCATGGGCTGATTTCCTGAAGAATAACATTCCAGGTGTGTAACAAGGGTCTTCCATCTTTAGATTTCTACCTGCATTTATACTGGTTTGGCTTTCAGAGCTTCTCTTTCCTGATACAGGTGACAGGACAGCTGCAGCCTTGACTTTCCACCAGTTAAGAGAGAGGCAGTTTTGCAAAAACTCATTAATGTAAACCATCATTGTGCATGGTTTACTTCCTTTACAAGAGGATTATGTGCTCCTTCTAAAGGCACTGCAGAGTTTGAGTACAGGGAGGTGGAGAGTTCAGTTTAAATTTCTGTCACTTTGCAACTCATCCCATGAGTGGAGAGAAGGTAATGGTGTTTATGATACATCTCCCTGAGGCACTTTTTTTTTCTTTCTTCACTTTTCAAGAGTCCTAGTGTGCAGATAAGTTAGTGCTCTGTTACCATAAATGCAGAAAAGAAAGAAGCACGATTTTACCGTATGAGAGCAAGCCTGTCTTTTTCAGATGGATGATCATCGAGCCACTGGGAGTAGCGGGCAATGGACCACTCAGCCCTCTGGTACAGAGAAACACAAACACCAATTACACAAAATGCAAAAAAAAAGAAACAGACACACCAATTTCAGAATCAAAGGGGACATAAATGAAAGCCACATGAGGCTCTCAATACAGCAGTGATGTGGAATGAGTTAAGAAATCAAAGACAATTAACAGGGTAGGACAGTATGTTATTTGGGAGCTCAGAGGTCATCTCCTACATCAGCTGACAGGGTTTTAATCTAGATTTCCTGCATCTTACAAGAGAAGGATCTAAGCAATCTGCAGACTGGGGAAAGATCTACAACTTCTACTATAAGCTGACAGAATAGTAAAGAATTCAGAGTCTATTTAATATCAGGTTATCATATCCCTACTATTAATCAATCAATCAATCAATCATCAATCATTTAATTTAGTAAACCAATTAGCATAATACCTTTGCCACAATAAAAACAAAACCAAAAAAAATTATATAAAATACACACTTGAATAATTTTCAACTAAAACAACTAAGGCAAACGACAATGCTCATTTCACCTTAGGACATCTGAAAATAAAAGATGTTGATCTTATTACCTGGAAGGGTGATTTTAGCTCTGGTGGTGCTCTTGTAAATAAGAACTGAAGAATAATGCTGAATGGAATAACCTCTCCCAGAGCTGGGCTATTGGCGATATGCTCACTGGTCTGGAACAGCAGTGGTCTGGAAAAATGTAACAATATACTCATGAAATGAAAAAAAGCTTATCTTATGCATTAGAAAAGTGCCTCTATGTGGTGGCAATATTGCGTTAGGATAGGATCACTGAGTTTTTTACCACTACTCTGCACCTTGGGTTTCCAACACAGGTCCAGTTTGCAAAAATTTATAGCAGTTGCCTATTGTAATTAAACAACATGGGACTGTAAATTTTGTATTTCAGTGAAAACATTTAAGGTAACTATAGGACTCGCTGTCATACAGAAGATGTACTGAAAGGAAGACAAAAAAGTACAATTTGGCCAACATTTGCATGACAAAGATTGTTAAATCATAGTTATACTCTGCATAAAATTTAAAAGAACTTTAATCTATTTCTAATTTGCAGGTGGGTGTTGCCAAAAAAGCTCTCATTTCAATCAGAACTAACACGAGGTAATAAATCAGTTTTGAAATGCAGTTTAGTCATACTGCGACTGCAACTCACCTGAATGACCTCAGCTGTCTGTAAGATTTTCCTAAGTCAGAGACTCGTCGACACAGCGGTGCTACTGCTAACTCCATCTGCAAAAGCAAACACTTCAGTTTGAATTAGATCCTCCCAAAACATCACACCTGGTATTGAAGTAGCTTGCTTTTAAGCAATAATCCAGACTTGCAGACTAAGTCAGTGACTTCTCTCTGGTGGCTGAATTAAGACAAGAAGCTGTCTTTTCCTTTCATACTATGTTGCCCAAGCCAAGACTTCTGCCTTATTCTTGGCAATACAATAAGCATTTTGTGACAAATGATAGAGACAGTCTGTGCATAACAACAGAAGGGGCCTCATGAGCTTTCTGAGACTAAAGCTTTGTTTCTTGCAGCAGATTTATTTTGTTGGTGATGACTTTCCTAATGAAGCACTTATGTCAATACCCCAAAAATCTGACTGCAGCCTGGGAAGAAAGCAAATCTAGGCAGCTCTCCACTGCTAAAGCATTAAAACTGTGGACACACAGTTTCAGCTGGGCACCCTTTCCTTTGGTGAAGGACAAGGTCAAAATTATTCTTTCCTAAACAGCGAGCCCCAGATTTTGGGGCACAAAACCTATACAGATTAGATATAAGGCAGCTGTGATCTATTGCCAAAGGGTCATATGGAGTCATGGTCAAAAGAGTAAGAACATTATTTTCATATTTATTTTCACACTGTTTGGTTTCTGAGTAAGAGCAACCATCTTTAAAAACAAACAAGTTTAAACCATTTTCTGTTTTAAGCATAGTTCTGCTTTTTTGAAGAAGATCCGGGCTCCACTTGGGTTTTTACATCTAAATTGTGTCACAGGCTCTTCATTAACATTGAGGACACAGAAGTGAGAAAGAACTATTTCCCTTCTAGATCCCAGACTGAACATGAACATTACACAGCAAAATTTCAGTTAATGTGCACACCAATACAAACACTACCACTTAAAAAACCCCGCAGGTAATTTTACTCAGACATGAGTAAAAGTCTTTATTTTTTGCATTCCTGAAGTGTCAGTCAAATGAGGGATCAAGCTTTATTCTCTGTTTTTTAAAATCCCCAACTTGAAAGACTATTCAGACTTTGATTTACACATAATGCACAATTAAATTAAGTTTCAAAGGATGACAGCTAAAATAAGTAACAAGATCAAAACCACCATACACTGAGTTTCCCTTGTAAGTAATATTGCTGAACGAGTTTCAAAGTGTTTGTGATATGACACTATTTACAGTGAAGTCTTTAACACTAGTATATTTTGCTTTCCAGCTGTGGCATTTCCTCAGATGAAGATGGCTGGGCCATCAGTTTCACCAAGAGCACATGGGATTCCAGCATAAACAAGAAACATGGTGCAGTGAACTATGATGCCATAGTTCAGCTAAACCCAGAAAAACTTAAATTAGTGAATAATGCAAATCAAGGCTATATACTTCAGGCATCCCTCTTTAAAAGCAGGTGGCAGTATAGGCGTCATTTCACCTGCTTCTCAACACATACATGTTCTCTTCAAAGGCAGTGGAGAGAAGCAGCCACTCCTGGGGGGGGATGCACCTTTCCGCAGGTGGACGCCTAGAACAGGTCAGGTGGATCATGTCTGTAGGAGTAACCCCCTACATGACACTCAGGCTAAGCTGAGAAAGCTACAGGGCCTAGCCCAAGCACTTTGGCTTCCCCTGCAGACAGGAGAGCTGTGTAGCTCTGAAAAGCAATGGGGAGTGCCCCACAGAGCTTTCCTATGGGCAGTGCAAAGCCACTGCCTGAGCCCAGGGACCTCAGAGTACATGCCCACATCAGGCACTTCCAGGCCACTTGAAATCTGCATTTTATGAAGGTTTCATTCACAGGAGAAGAAAGTGAATAAAAATCCAGAATGTGGAATAAGGAAATAAGGCTCCAGACCTGAGTAACAGTCTGGCTTCCTCTTGCCTGCTGCCCTTTTTGGTCCCCAAGTCTTTAGGCTATGAAATGGCCCCTCTCGACACACTGAGGATGAGGTCACCTCTCCTGCACGCAGGTGAGAGGTCAATGTCCCTGTGGCTCAAGAGCCACCAGCTGCTGTGCTGTGCTGAATCTGCTGGCACCAGGGAGTGAGGGCATGCTCCCAGGAAGGGCAGGCTCTGCAGGGAACTGCTGCAGGGACATGCTCCAACTCCAAGCTGCAATGAAGCTTACAGCAAGTTCAGCATGTTGTTCCCCCAGGAGCACCAGGTGGAAGCCAAGAGGCTGCTCTGCCCCACAGGATCAGGAGCAGGCAGCCAAAAAGAGGAGCTAACTAAGTCTGCTTTGCTGCATCATGATACAAGAATCCTACAGATCCTGAAAAACGAACGGGAGCAAGACTTTGATTTCTCCAGAGCTTTGTTTCAGGTGTCAGTATTGGCTGGGGGCAGCTGGAAGCAACTGATATCCTGCAGGAGCTGGTGTCCCAGCTCTGGTGGGAGCCTTGGGCTTGTAACTGGGAGGGACCAGGGAGAAGATAATTCTTTTAGGTTCTTCAGAGATTTTGATAACAGGCAACAAACTGCCAGTCTGACTTGTGGAAACAGAGATGTGTGGATCAAACGGTACTCATGAGGGGGAAGAAATAACAACATAGCAAAATATAATTTTGCTTAATAAGTTTTAAAAGATTGTTTTGCTCCTGGAACAGAATATGAAGTAATGAGATGTTAAGTGAAACTTTCTACAGCTTAACCAATCCCTTATTAAAACAAATTTAAATGAATTCTCTTGAATATACCTTGTAGTTTCCGTAAATTAAAACTTTTAGTCTTAAGTGCTAAATAAGAAAAATTACTTTGGAAAATTCTATTACTTCATCTTCAACCTTTATTCACTGTAGGAAATTATTAGTATTGCTAGAACTAGATAGATTTAATGGCAGCAGATGGTGGATTCGTGAAGTAATAGCTGCCAAAGAAAAATATTGTTTTTAAGCTTTGCAGCATACTATACTATCTCACATTGACTCATGAAGAGTGGGAATGAGTGAAAACTAATGTAAAAATGTACATAAACCACAGAAACTCTTTTTTTTTTAAAAATTTACAATACCAGTCTTTGTGTTATAACCCAATCTCTCTCCAAGAAAAAGTATAATTCACATAATAACTAAGACTGTTTTCTTTGCTTGAAGTTTAGGTGTTTATCTGAGCCCAGTGACAGGGTGGGATGCTATGGCATCCTTCTGCTGTCACAATCATTTCTGAGGCCACTGAGAGGGGTTTAGTGTCTCTGCTGAGCATTGTGCCAGCCCAGGAAGAACTGCTGGGGAGGAACCATTCAGCTGCACCAGCTGCTGTTTTTAAGGTGCTGGAATTGGGCAGAGAATTGAGCATGCATCACTTCTTGGTTGTGCTACCTGTCATCACCTGAAATGGCATCAACTATTGATTCACACAGCAAGTTTATACTGTAGCAGCCTTTGCTGTGATACACAGCTATAGTTTCAAAGCCTGTCAGTGAGCTCTTATATCAGGGGATGTTGTTGGCTGTTGGCAGCCAGTATTTGTATTGTGCATGCAAGGCCTTTCACTCAGCCATGTGGACTTTACATATAAAAGAGTAAGCAGTACTTTCTGTTTCTTTTCCAAATTTCCCTTCCAAACTGCAAATTTGAAAATTCAAACATACAGGTTAAATTCAGTGATAAATCAGGTGTTCAAGCAGTAATCTGTAAACAAAGAGGCTTGATGTGATATAATCATTAACACAGAGTCCAAGGGGAGCACTAGGAGATGAATGTGCTTGCCAAAAAGCAAGCAGCAGATAGAACAGAAGAAGGCCCAATGACTTGTTTCTTCTAGCTTTGTTCAAACCCATTGCTTTTCCATGATTTATACATGTTAGTTTGCTATGCTTTGCAGGACACAACCCAACATATGCTTCCCCTCAATGGTTCATGCTCTCTAAGCCCAAAAAGGCAATATTATCTTTTCTTCTCATATGACTCTGCCATAGCCCATGGCTAGGTGGTCAATTATCTGTTGAACTATTCACTGGCTGGCCACATTGAAAAAATTGCATCACATGCCTGGCTTCTCTAATTGGATTATGTTCAGCAACCCAAGGGTAAAGTTAATATGTAGTCTAGATACAGATAATGCATATATATTGAAGAGTGCTTTAAAAAAAAAAATATAGTGAAGTCATTGTTTAGTGCCTATTGTGGTATTTTCAAGATCTCTCATTACTTAAACAGCTGCTTTTTCAGCTGGAAAATTTTAACATTAAATTTTTAGCAATTACATTTCCTCCTGGCCAAGATGAATTCCAGGTTTTTAAATGTTACCTCAAAATGCTTTTTTCTAGCCATTCACCAGGAATGCTTTAACAAGCAAGGGAGCAGAAGGGCTGAACTATTATATGAAAGAAGCTGGCCTTGAAGGGATGTGCAATTTGATTTCTCCCCAGTGCAGAAATTCCAAAGCAGTTGATGTTTAAGTAAATCCTTCAGCCGTAACACCTCTAAAATAACACATATCAGCAAATAATTCCCTCTTTCCAGGAAGATAATTAGCACAAAACATTAAATGTATTTTAGCTTTAGTAATTTCTGTCTTTATGACTACAACTGTGATTACAGCATCCTGCTGCTCTCATTTCTCTGTAAGAAACTAGAAAGGAATTTTTTTAGGAAAAATTATGTAAAGCACTTTTACACCTCTATCATTGTGTTTGATCAAATGAGCAAATCCGTCTACATTTTAAAAAATCCAAATGCCTAATATTCTTGCTATTTTTTAATGCCACATACTGAATCAGGAAACCAGATTCTGACCACAAACTAGCCAGCAGATAGGAACAGCTCTTCTACATTAGAATTTAGCATTGTAAACTTCTACCATAAAAACATTTTTCTAGAAAAATTCAATAAAATCAGAATATTTTGCATTTATTTTTGAGAAAGACTTGAATAATTGGTGTCAGCATTAACTGTATCCTATCAAAACTCTCTGAACAATGCCAAAAATCTCAACCATAAATCATGCCTAGATAAGAAATACAGGAAAGCATGTAGAGAATAGAATCAACTCAAACAGGACCAATAAAAACAGTTCATTCTTTGCTGCTCTGTCCAGCACTTCCATTGGGTTTTAGGAAGGCCTGAACTACAGGGCACAATCCCAAAGCGTGCCTAAGTGCTGTAACAACTCTGAATACCAAGCAAGCTAAAAGGTCCTCTGGAGAAGAGCTTTCACTCTCCAAAAACAGAAGTGTTGAAAACCATCAGGGCTTGCTTGCCTCCAGGAGAACATTTTTTATTCAATCTGACAAGTACTGAATTAAAAGTGAAATTTGGTATTAAATATGTGAATATTGAATTATGGGCACCTTGAAAATACAAAACCAAATAAAACAAGCTGATTTGGGAGTATACAGGAATGAGCTGAAAAGTAATCTTGTGCAATTGCCTGCATAAAAACTGAGAGCATGAAAGATGCTGCACTCAGCCTGTAGACTGGAAATGTTTCAAATGAGACTCCTGAGGAGCTGTGGCACTGCACTCGATAACAACCTTGCAGTGCTGTGCACATTTCCTAGGGCTTGCAATGTTCCCGTGTTCCTGTAAGCACTGATTTACATGAAATTACATTAATGATATTCAGGCATATTTCAAGCCTATCATATCTCTGTTTACAGGTGCCACAGTAGCACACACCTAGTCTCACTGCTGAGAAATCTGTAACACACAGGACAGCCAAATGCGATACTGACACTGCAAACAGGGTAAGACAGAGAATTCAAAAGATCTACAGCAGTAATTCCTAATGTATGAGTACCTGAGCCTCACTCCAGAAAATTGGCTGTTATGCACCTCACCTCAGCGAACCTAGTTCTCAATGAAGAGAACTTGAAATTCGTTTTCTCCCTTCTGTGTGGACACCTGTTGTTTTGAGGCAACTTATCAGTAAAACACGTTTTCAGTGCAAAATTTTCAAATCAGACTCTCAGCCAAAGCTATTCTTGCTGAGTATAAGGCAGCTGTAACTCTGTGAGTGCCCTGAAAGAATGTGAAGCATGAGATACCCAAAATCTGATGCAATCCAAGGTTATTTGATTCATTGAATACATGTTTATAATAAGAACTCAAATTAATCAAAGCTTCTAGACAGATTTCTGCTCAGGTGTTTTGCTTGCAAGCAATCCCAAAATACCAGAAGGGATTTTAGATTTCAAAAGTCACTTTTGAGCAGGAACATGTAACCCTTTTTTGTATAGAGAAAATTTAAAATTACAAGACAGAACACAAGTAAAAACAGTTTATAAACAAACCTACTCCTACACACAGTATCTTTCCAGGCCGGTTGTTTCCCTTGGGTTTGGCTTTGGTCCAACAATGCAGTGCCTTTCTGGGACTGAAAAAAAAAACCCTGCACACAGCACTTATGGCCATTTGAAAAAACTTATCCTTTTCATCAAGCCAGCTGCCCAGCTAAATACCTGCTCCCTGCCCTCCTCAGACAAAAGCAGCAGCAACCTCTCCTAGTCCTCATTAGGATTAAAGCTGAGTTTACACCAGGACTCCTGGCTGGGTCAGAGCAACCACCTTCCTCCCAGGCTCCCAGGAGCTGGCATCATGGGCATGTGCACAAAATCCACCAGGTTTTGGAAGGAGCACACACATGGAAAACACAGATATAAGGCAGATTTAAACTAACAAAATGTTTTAATCCTTTTTCTTCTATCCTGAGCAAGAGGATACAGTTTCCAGGCCATTCTGGACACTACAGCCCCTGTGCAGCCTGGGACACCCAGAGGAGCTCTGTGCAGAGATGCTCAAAGGCACAGTGAGCGCTGAGTTGGCTCCATGCAGCTGGTTGGACACGGATTTCTTGTCTTAAGCCCATTTTTAAACAAGACAAGAATACGGTGTAATGTGAAGAAAAGAAAAACACAAGCCCCCAGATGCAGCAGGCAGAAGACAGGAATGAATTAAAACCCTTTTTTTTTTGATTCTGTGGTACAAAAGAAATCAGAATATTTATCTCTACACAGTTGTCCATTCAGGAGTTAACACAGTGGGGAAGACCATGCAAATTCTCCTACACTCTATGAAAACATACCTTCATTTTTCACTTAAAAGGCAGCCCATATCAAAATGGGAAAAATCAGTGTTTAAAAAATTATAAACAAGTTATATTTTTAGATTGCAACAGGTGCTTAGATCAGATGCTTTTACTGTACAATCAGGTGAAAATATTTTCCAAATTTATATGACTTACTTTAGTTAAAATTAGTATAAATTACAAAAACTATCTCTATTCCTTCCACTGGAGAGCCAAGTGTCCTTTTTTTGCTTCCAATTTTATGCCATTGTCTTCAAAATATAGAAGGGAATGGAACCTCCTTGCTGAAAGCAATTGAAAACTTCCCCTTCAATTCTGTGGTTAAGGGCAGATTCACTGTGTTTGAGTAATGAATAAAAAAATTTTACTCAGGAGTATGTAACTCACAGGCAAATGATACAAAGCAGCCACAAGAAGGAGTGGAGGCGGCAGCAATTCCTCCCTCCCTGCCTTCCTCTCCTACCTCAGTTACCTCCCAGCCAAAAGCAGCACTCAGTATGCAGACAGCTGGTGCTAATTCCCTTTTCCACTCAGATAATAGCAAAGGGCTGCCTAAGATTGAACCATGGATGCCTGATTCTTTGGCATGTTAACCATGCAGTGGTACTGCTGACAAATTAAATTTTAATATAGTAGATAACACAGACAGGTAGTGGATATGAATCTGGCAATTTCTTTTGTGGTTTAGTCCTGCATAGGAATTAGGTAAAGCTGAGAGGCAGGTCAGTCAATTGAGTCATGAAGAGAATCCCACAAGACAACTGCCCTTCTGTTTCCAACTGGACAGCACTTCCCCAGGTTACTGAAATTTCTTTACCTTGTCTCCTTCACTGCAAAGCAGCTGAGTTAACCATTAACCATGGTGGGCACCATGATATATAGTGTGATTAAGGAAGTGACACACCATATTCCATTAGAAGAGGGAGAAAGGATGAAGTGGATGAATGGTGGCAAATAATGGACGTGCTGAAGAGGGCAGCCAAGTGGGACAACATGCCAAGATGCAGCTGAATTTAAATGCAACAGTCACTTGCACAGGGAGCTGCCAGACCTCCCTGAATGTGCCTTACAGTGATGAGGGATCTGCAACTACGTAGTGAATGCATTTCTCAGGATCCAGTATCTTACCAGAGAGGATGTTTAGACCTGGAATGCACCAATCTCTACAACTGCCTGTTTACACTTCAACGGGGACAAAAGCATTGGTACTTTTCAGTGCAATTGGTGAAATGACACTGAAAGGCAGAAATCAGCACTGAGGGTACCTGTGCAAAATCCGCTGCCAGGCGCATCTTCCCACCTTCACCGAGGGGCCTTATTAGACTGGCATGGCGAATGAAAAGCTCAATTGCTCTTTGAGCCATGGCTTCAGTGTTATCAAAGACGAAGTCAAAACACTCAAAATGTCTGAAGTAGTCGCTCATGACTCTTGCTATAAAACCCTGAAGTTCCTTCATGTAGAGGGAACAAGGGACATCTGGTTTTCCTGAGCTGGATAATGATCTGAAAATAAGAAAAGAAAAAAAAAAAGGAGAAGAAAAAGAAACAGAGGCAGCTAAATTCATCTTTAAAACACAACCAAAACCTATTGGATTATTTTAAATGTTTTTCCTACCCCACCAAGTCATGGCACGAATTGTAGAGTCTCATTTCTACTCAGAATATGGAGAATGTAGCTCTCTCTGAAACTACAGTCAAAAAGTACCTCTTTATCCACCATGCCCATAAAGAATTAAAAGATGAAACAAGAAATAATGAGGTAAAGGAAAACGCCCCTCTCCTACCCAACTTTCGGAGCCTCCTTCAATTTGGAGTCTACACCTGAAATCCAGATCCTAAATTTGAATGTCCCAGTTATTGATTTGAAACTCTAAGAGTGGATCATAAAATATAAACACGTCACAGGGTTACTAATTTAGCCTGTCTATCCCAAACCTGTTCTCTGTATAGAATCAGTCTCGGCTATCTAACAAAACTTAGCCTTTGGCTGGTAACTATTTACCCACCTAGAGAGGTATTGTGCTACTGATGCCAAAAAGGGTAAGGGTAAAATATTGTTTAAAAAAAAAAGTCAAAAGGAAAATTCAAAACATCTCTGAAAATATACTACTTCCAGTGAATTTTCAAGATCAGAAACAAAGACTGAAAACAGGACAATTGATGATGATACAAGCAATGTCAGAACAGACATGACAACTAAAATAAAATTTAGGAAGCAAGTCTCAATTAAACATCAGATTCAAGATCCAGGCACATAAAGAATCCTGGAAATTTTAGTGAAAATGCTATGGAAAAACAGCATAAGACACTGAACCTGAGATTTTAAAAAAAAGTTAAAATTAACTATTACATCAGAGGCTATACGCTTTGAGAAACAGGAATGCTGACAGTTCTGAAGACTGTCCAAAAAAACCACATTTTGAAAGCAAAAGGGTTTTTTTAAGCACAAAAATGGCCTCTTGACAGCTTTCTTTTTCTATTTGAAATGAATTTTACTCAACCAGAATGAATAAAAAAAAGGGGGAAGGAAAGAAGACGGATGCTACCTGATTAATTTGTTTCAACAGATAGGTGTAATTGTGCTTCCTGTGTTCATCAGCCATAAAGCATCGCCTTCCCCTCAACAAACAAGCACTCTTGCTTCAAGGACATTGTGGCAATAACAATCTATTACACACATGCAGGACATCTTACAAGAGCAACGGTAAATTTAAGAGATATTTCTAGTTACCCAGAAAAATCTTCCTGGTGCATAGTGATGATAATAGCTTCCACTGAATCTCCTACAGAGTTCAGTAGCGGCTGAACAGCACTACCCATTAGATCATGGACTGCCTAAAATAGAATAAGAAAAAGGCAGAAGTAAGGAAACAAAAACTAGAAGCATTTGCATTTTGACACCTCGGAAATACCTTAGGAAACAGTTCATTTTATCAGTGATTTTTATTATTCGGCATTAGAAAATGCTAAATAGGAGAACCAAACCTAAAGATAACATTTCTCTTTAACTGATTTTACCAGTAGAGTACAGAAAATAAAGCTGCTTGCTGCTTCTGTGTAAAGCCTCCTTTCAAAAAGGCACAGCAATTTGGCATTCCAGGCTTGTACATGTACATGTTTTGGTGCACACTTGGCTCAGTTGTTCATTCCCCAGACACAAGCTGCCCTTCATTCCCCTGCACACAACCCCTCCCAGGTCAGTGCCCAGCAGGATGGACTTGGAGAGCTGTCATCCACAGAGGCTGCACCGCCATCCACATCCCCCTCCAGGAAAGTACCAGGTCGCATAAAAATTATAATTTGATGTATCTGTCGGGGGAGGAAGGGGGTGATGAAGGATCCAGCTATTGCTGTGTGAATGCTGCAGAGAAAGACATTTATTTTCACAGTCAGATGACATCTATGTTCTGACCGTTATGAGAATGTTCTGAATACAAGCCCGACTCAAGCAGTGATTTGGCACAGGTAACACATATGGAGCTGCAGATACAATAAATTAGAAATGTCAGAATATTTGTATACCTGTTACTAAATATACTGATGTAAAATAATATGTGATAAATAAGTGCCCATTCTAAATGTAACAAAGAAAGCCAAGCTCATCCCTATCCCTGAAGCATATGGACATTCTATTACCTTTAAGGCAGTTGTGACCGTTTGCTCAGCAGCTGCTGGAAATGAGCTCTGACTGGTAATAACCTAAAAATTGTAAAGTAATTGTTAATAGTCAGCATTCAGCAAATTATTAGAATACATAATATTCAGCTTCATTTAAAAACATAATGAGTTATCCTTAGTAATGAGTGTTTACATAGCTACAGATAACTATCAAGTGTGCTTTATACAGACAGAATTTTCAATGCATCAGTATCAGTCCTTTGCTCTCAGATTTCCTATGGACTCTGATTCTGCCTTGGCAAAGAAATGACTCAATGGAGTTAAGCTGAAATTTAGCTGAAGGGCTAACAGAATCAGAATAAAAATAACTGGTGTATTCTCCCACTGCTAAGTATAGAATTCATGGAGAGCTATACAAGCAGTTCTGTGGCAAATACTTGAAGGAATAGTTGTTCTTTCTCAGTATTATGACTATTATAGCACTACACGTTAAATAGTTGCTTATGTACAGCTAAAACAATATTAAAATTGAGAGTCAAGGAATGATCTGAAGGACTATTCTACCAATTTCCTTACAGTCTTGAACGTGCTACACAGTAGTATTTTTAAGCCAGATAAGTACTGAACTCAAATACTGAATCATATCAGATCTCACTCCAACACTAAGACACATGAGGTTCATTACTAAGTACATCAGAGAAAGCAGACTTAAAAGTTATCTACCATCTGTTTGCAAAATCCAAGAAAATTTTATAGGCTTTTTAGCATTTTTTAAAATTCTTTGAACATAGCCAGAGTCAGGAGTACTCATGATCTTTTTTCTAATCAGGCTAGGATTGAAATACGATTTACTGCAACTACCAATATACCTATTTGGTTTTACAAAGACTGTGTAACAACTGGCATCACTAAAACAGTAAATTGGAATTATTCATAACTCTGCTTGATCCTGAAAAATTTCCAGGCCATATTTTAGTCACAGTAATAATGTATGGAGATATTTGTGAGGTATTGCATTTCTTGATTTCCCTCTTTCCTTCCCCTTTTCTGTTTAGCCACAATTGTGGGAAAGCATTGAAGGTCTGAAAAAAATAAGCTTGGGTTGAAGTAGATGCAGCAAGGGAGCTATCAGGCTGATTAGTACAAAGACAGATAAGAAAAAACAAAGAGTTCAATTGTTTATGTTCACAAAGTAATGGCTGTCAGATGTGATTATTCTCTATAAACATATCTTTATTTTTCTAATATTGACAATTTGTCATATAGTGGTGCTTACAAGGGCCAGCCCAGCCTCAAAGAGATGTACAAATGCACAGCAAGGTGCAGCTCTTAACACTCTTAGCACAAAATTGGGCTGTAATTGTCAAGGGCTCTCATCTGCTAAATGGAGCATATGCACAGGATAGTGCAAGGTAACACTGTGGCAAGAAGAGAAATGCCAAAAGAAGCCTACCTTCAGAACTGCCTGGTGCAGTTTGTACAGAGAATTAACCACAGCCACGTTCCTCCTCTGGCCCTCCGTCAGTGGCCCAATCACCTGGCTGGCGTCTCCTTGAGTAGATAGCTGCAGTGACACAGAAATTGTTGGTACCAACTTTTTCAATGGTGCATCTCCCCAAACTAAACTTCAAACCACAGCAGAAGGCCACAGGCCCTCACTACTCAATGTTCTTCCATTTAACTCTTGATTCATAGAATTTCCATCTTCAGATTAAACAGACTGAACAACAGCGACAGGAACCTTGTCTCAGCTGCCAAGTCACAGCACTGAGACCCAGATCTCCTGGAGATACCCAGTCCCAGCAAAATTTGAATTTTGTAATCTAAGAATCAGGTGAAATCACCTACTTGAGGAAGCCAAATAAACTGCCAGCAACTTTTATTTATGAGCGGTGTGTATTTTTCTGTATGCCCTCAGTCTGTCCTTCTGACAACCATTCAAGCCTCTCCTTAAAAGATCTGGTTTTACAATAGATGGCTTAGAGCTTTGTAGATATTAGAGGCTTATAAGCCAATAGAAAAACAGAACTACAATGACCAAGACTTCTAGACCTGTTATTAAAGTTTTATCTATGAATTTTTCAGCAAAAATCAAATAAATATTTCTTCATAGTTAAACTGCACAAAGCATCCATTTTTTATTATTACAGCAGAAAGCAAAGTTCCAGGATGATACATAAATAGCCACTAACCATGGAACAGTCTTGTAAGGATACCACAGCATATATTTGCAATTTAAAATATAATAAATTGCAACTGGTAAACAAACAAGAACTTTCTTGTGTACTCAAAGCTGCAGAAATACAAAGAATTGACAAATGGCAATGCGAATTCTAGAAGAATTCTAAACATTAACGCAAGAATACCTATTAATAGAAGGCTTTACTGAGATTTAATTACCCAACTAGTTATCTATGTTTCAGGATACAGAATTATCTTCCAGGAAATCCCTGAAGATGCCTAGCTCCAAAAGTCTCTCAGTAAAAATATATTCAACTCACTGAGCAATGGTAAAGAGGCTTTCATGGAGTGTGTCTGAATGCAGTTATAGGTGCTACAGAAAGGTTCTAAACTAAAACTGAGCCTACAGTAATAATTAAAAGCAAAAGAAACAAACATAATGTAAAAAACTTTAACTTATGAGAAACAGTGAATCTTTACTACTGAAAGACTATTCCCATACTTCCCATAGCTTCCACACAGCATAAACACAGCCAGCACACAAGCACAGTTATCTAGCTTTTCCAGAATTGCTAATGAAGTTTTAGACAGGTTTTTACAAGCACCCAGGAGCTCTTATTTATTCACAGCACTATGGTGACAATATCAGTTCGTTTCTCTTTCTTCAAATTTAGGGATTATTTCAGAATAAATAGGTTTCTGAGGCCGTTATAGTTTTCAATGTACCTTCAATTATTTGATATCAGAATGTATCTTTAAACTGGTTGACAAATATATTCTTGTGTCAGCATTTTCCTCCCTCCCTGATGAGAACAGTCATGTGAGCCACAACATTGCTGTTTCCTTCTAGATACTTCTAATTGACAGACCTGACTGGTTTTCAGAATTCTGTTTCTCACATTTACAGCTTCAGATATTAATAACAAAACAGCTGTGCAAAGACAGACTCTGTCCACCTTGCTGACCACCCTCCCAGACACAAATACCCTTCTTCTCCATGCTTTTTAAAGTACTGTACAGACTAATTTATCTTTTTGCACATTTACAACTATTAAACATAAAAGATATTATTAAACCAGTACAATTTTTCATCCCAGTTACTTAAATCTCAGCTCCTCACAGTTGCAAAGGTTTCACAATTTCTTAGACATTGGACTCTACCTCTCCTGCTGATGAAAAAGCTTAACTGGTAAGTAAAACCATTAACGAGTACAAACAACCCTTCTGCAATAACAAGAAATTCTTGCAGTCAGAAATAGTGCACGATAGCTTCACAGACAAAATCTGAAAATACCTTAAAAACAATTAGTCTTTGTAAAATTGTTTACCATATTAAATTTCTGTGAGGTACTCCCTGCCCAGGGAGGCAAAGATTTATTTCAGATAAGCATTGTTAAAGAGAGAGGCGTGGCTGTAAAGCCTGGCTAGTGTGAATTCTAAAACCTCTGCCTTGGGGGATGTGCCCTGTGAGCCCTGGAAGAGTTGCCCCACCCCAGACCCTCATGGGGTGGCAGCCCAGGGAGGTCTGATAGGGTTTGAGCTCCTGGGATTTCTCCCTTGTTGTGTTCCTAGTGGTCCCTGACCTTGAACTCCACCCTGGTTCTGTCCCTCAAAACCCATCATCCTGTCTCTGTTCAGGGCTCTCTGACTCTGGATCTGAGTTTGCTCCTATGCTGAATGGTTTCTTGAGCAGAAGCCCATCTCATTGGTGTCCCATGATGGTTCCTGGTAACTGTAGTTTCTCTGGACATGATCCTGCAGCTGCTGAATGCAACAAATTTCCTTTAACAAATCCACAGTTAGATGTGCTGATCCCTTCTACATCCTAAAACCACTGGTCTAAAGCAAAGAGGCCTGAAAAACTTGACTCTTGTAACTAGCAGTTGAAACAGGGCAGCCCAGGGCTCTCTAGGACCATTTCTCCTGAAGGTGTGCCATGGGAACAACCTGGCACCTATATGGGCAGGTGTGTCCTACCATTTCCAGAAGTCTCCCTTGCTGTCACCACAATGATATCTCTGACTTTGCCTCAAGACAAGAAAGTTCTGCACTCTGTCCAGTTTGGTGCATGTACATCCACTGTGTCACTGGCAATAGTCTGGATTTCAGACAGTTTATAATTATTCCAGTATTCTAATGCCTCACACTGCATTCTTGACACCCCTTATATCCATTATGCAATCATGCATCCAGTTAGGAGACATGTGATTATTGTGTCTCCCTGGTTCCAGAAACCAGGCTTATGATCCTTTTGCTATAGACAAAAACCACTCCTCGGTTTCTTTTCCAACATACCGGCTTTCATCAACGATTCACATTTATTGCTCTCTTTTACACAGAAAGTACTTGTAAAGTTCTGTGCTAGACACAGGTTATGCATTTAAACCCAGAGGTAATGTTACTCTTGCTCTGTTATCTGGCCATTGGGGATTGCATTGTGTAAATAGGTTAAGTCAAGTAAGTGTGAAGCCCGTGCACGTCTGCTCAAGCTGTCTGAAAGACACAGTCCACAGGCCTTCTTTTTGATGAGGGCACTGGAGAAAAAATCAGATGCTTTTTTAGTCAGCCAGTTAGATCCTGAAATGCAGAAGACCAGGAAGGGTAGATTATACGAGGGGGACAGAAGGGGTGACTTCATCCCAAATCAGAATCTATTTTGGGAAACAAGTAGAAGACCATGTGCAGCTGAAGGCCAGATCCCATCTCCAGGGAGCTGTCAGTCACCAGGGAGTTAGTCTGGTTTAAGCCTGCTAGCTGAAAACAAAAGAGAAGAAACTATGTTGAAGCCAGACCTGAATGAGCAGCAACAACAAGGACCGTAATTGTTCCACATTTCTGTATCTGCTTTAAGTACAGCAATCGATATCTTACTGTCTACATTTCAGGTGGTTAAATTGTTTCTGCTTGTTCCTCAAGCCTGTCTACTATTCACAGTAATTCCATGGGCAGTAGCACAGGCACCCATTCCCCAGCAAACATCAATTCTATAAGGGGAGACTCGTCAGTGTGAGCTGCCTTTGCCAACAGGGGCCATGAGCACACTGCCAACATGGGATGCTCGTGAGGAAGAGTGAGGCAGAGAGGTGTCCTACCAGGAAATACTAGCCAGGACTGTTGTATCATGTATCCAGGCACTGGGACAAAGGATGTGTCTCGTGGTGCCCTAAAATATGTGAATGTGAGCTTCTGTCCCACGCAGCATTTAAAAACAGAAAGGGCAGCTGTTAAACTGAAATGATAAAGAAACACAGGGAGATAGTGCCTTTCTGACATATATATGAGTGTTTTCTCTGAAGTAGGAGGTTGAAATATGCAGGTTCAATCCAGCAGCTGACTAGCTGGAGGAAGCTGCATAGAAGAATTTTGGGGGTTTTTAAATCTAATTCAACTGAATCTGAGACCTAAGCAGTAGATTGATATCAGGTAGCCTACTGAACCAAAAAGGACACTTGTAGACGCCAATGCACAAAAAATGTATCACAAAGAGGAACAAGCTGACTTAAGGCCACCTGACTTACTTCAGCCTGATATGGTCAAGAAACTGTAAGCCATGACTGGCACTGTGCTCTCACTGAATTCAGAAGTTCTCCTGAAAAAGAGTTTCTTTTAGTTTGTATCCCTCAGTACACTTACAGGGTTACACTGCTTCACCTCCAGAGAGTGCAGATGCTTCACCTTGGGTCAGTAAGCTGGCAGAAAATTTCAGGAATGATTCACCTGACCACATGCAGGAAACCACAATGCAGAGAAGTAAGAAATTCCACTGAGTAATTCACCTAGGTTATTTTAAAACCCCCGTTTTGGGAAGAGAGTACATGCACCCTGTATGCACCTATTTCCCTTCACTAGCTATAAAAGGAATTTAAAGCAGTAGCACAGATCCCTAGTAGTCATGTCAGATGCATTCTCACCCTATAAATATATTTGCACCCCTTTGCACAGACCTACTTTGGAAACATGTCTTGAAATAATGAGATTAAGTGTTCTGGATTTGACATTTTTCTGTGTTTGATGCCTAAGAACAGACATGAAATTTGACAGCATGGATTTGATCTCACATGTTGAGACATGTGCAATAATAAAATTGCTTTGGGATTAAATTTTTGTTTTCACCAAGAAGCAATGAAAGTAGAATTTAGATTAGGCCATGAACCAAATCATCAGTTCTCCCTTGGGTTATAAATAAAATGCTAACTGAGTTTGCATTTTTCTTGTAGGAAAGCTCAGACTATTGATACATCTTTTTCTGTAATTTTTTTAGTGCTTCAAAGTGACTAACACTCCCCTCTTTCAACAGGTGGCAGCTCAGAAGAGACACTGATTTGTGAGCTGGTTTGTTACTATTCCCTTCATAGACTATATATCTTGTAAAAAACTTCAGTT